GACAGAGTTTTTCTTGACCCTGCGGAATATAATGGCAGATAAAGAGGTTGACCATTTTGGGAGGAGGATGCCTTCATTTCTCGACGTGACTGTAGATTATTTCGGCTTCAGAAGACAAGAATGTCCCTTTAACATCTGACCTGGCCTTTATTTAAGAGCAGCACTTCACGGTTCAGGAAAGACAGACAATTTTCTAATTCCCAGCTCTGCTGGAGGCTGAGGCAGCAACTTCCAGACAGGACACCTGCTAACACTAGAGAAATGGCATTATTATGTCTACAAGTTTACAAATCTGAGGATCAAAAAGCCTTTGCTTCTGCTGCTACTACACAGGCCAAGGACGACGACTTCTTCAAAACAGACTTTCAGAGGTTTTTCTCCCCCCCCTCCAAGAAATGGTTTCTTTTTGCTTTCAGCGGATCGGTTTCCACGTGAAGAAGTCAATAGGCAAAGAGTTTCCTAAGTTTCAGTGGTGTGTAGCAGAAAGGGGATTAGACCTGGGGCCTTTTTACTGGCAAGCCTTTAAGCAAATAAATGTTCTTGAATTCTTAGAGAAACAAATCTAACTTAAACAGAAAGCCAGAATATATGGGATTTGCCCCTCCCCAACTTGAATTTAAAAGTAATGGAAAAAAAAAAAAAACGGGAAAGAGAAATAATTACTAAAGATCTAAGGGATACTAGGGCTAAGTCTTTGTCCACAGTAAATGTACTTTTATTTTTTGCTAGTCATCCCAAGGGGAATGCCTGCTTCCACCTACTCACTATGAGTTGTCAAGCACCAACACCCCGTGCAATGCAGTTGTTCGCTTACACCAGCTCAGGTCAGTCCAGAGCTACGATTCCCTAGCAGTGACAGAAGCAAAAAGAGATCTGCACACACGTACACACACACACACACATGCAATTACTCAGATCTTTACTCAGACCCTACCTGGTAAAAAAAAAAAAAAAAAGCAAAAAAAAAAAAAAAAAAGCATCACAGCTCCTTACCCCACAGTCCCAGAACCGATGCCTGAAATTTCTCTCTTAAGGAACAAGTGAATCACAATGAGTAATTCTTGGTTTAATGGGCAGTTTTCTTAAGCACCAAAAAAAACCCCACTGTGTATATTATCCAAACCTCAAAAGCTTAAAAATCCTGATTGTGTGCATACACACATATTTATATATTTATAATACCTGAGAGCAGCCCCTTGTTCCAGAGCAGCTCCAGGTGCCTACAGTTTGCCAGCACACAGCACACCTGGGTCAGCATTTGTGGGCTGGCTTTAATTAAGCCAGATAACCACGGGTAATTAAGGCAAAGCAGTTGGCTAATTTGCTCTGAAGTCAGCAAGGGAACAGTTAGCATCTTGCTCTAACAAACTGACCATAAGGAAAAAATAAAGCATAGGCCTGTAAATGAGCACAAAATGATAATCCGTGTGATAATTTTGTCTCTCTGCACTGTCAAGCAGCTTTTAAGACTTTTCTAACCCTAATATGACTTAACATACACCTCCCTCTTCCCCTGCAGGCTTAGGGGGGGGAGCTGTGCCCAGTCCTGGTCCCCATCCCACACTGCCCGGTGCCCTCTCAGCCATCAGGCCACCGGTGGCACCTGCATCCCACCCACACCAACGCTGGTTTTTGGGGAGGAAAATCGCAAAAGAGGGGATGATAAGGGACACAGCTTAGTGGTGGCACTCAGGCCAGGTGGACTCTTGGACTCAATGACCTTCAAGGGCTTATCCAACGTGACCAATCCTATGATTTTCAGCCCCAATCCATCTTTACCAACCTACTGATGGTGAGGAAAGCTCATTTTCCCATCTCCCCAATAAGATGGATTTTCCTGCCTGGATTTGGGCTGATTTCACTCCAAATCACTCAAGGAGGAGAAGGCTTTGCCCTTTTTTCCCCCGTTTTTTTTTCTATTTTTGCCCATTTTTGGCTGGCAGGACGGAGCAGGGCTGCGAAGGGAGGGAGCGGGGAGGCCGAGCTCAGGCAGGGATTTTAATCTGATCACTTCCCTGTCAAACTAATCCCTGCCTGACTCGGATCGGACTTTTAGAAACGTGCCTGGAAACCAAAAAGCAAACCTCATTTGAATGAAGCACACACTCCGCGGCCCCCATCTGCAAAGGGCCGCAATTAAATGCAAAAAAAAAAAAAAAAAAAAAAAAGGGAGAGAGGGAGAGAAAATTAGCATTTTCCGCGGCCATCTGGCATGAGGAGCAGGCGATGAGGAACAAAAGGAGATTTAGGCAAAGGGGAGAGGCGAGTGTGCCATGGCATTGACCTGCAAATGAGCCTTTGTGAGCGAATTAAAGCTTCCCGGACCCCCCGGGACACCCCAAAACAGGCACCATTACAAACCATCCGGACAAAAACCCACTCATCAAAATTGTCTGCGTTGGGGGGGGGGGAGGAGGGGGGGGCTGCATTTAAATCCGCACCTTGCCCGTGTCCCCCCGCTGTAATAGGCGCTTAATAGCGGCTGGGGGGGCACGGCCCCCAGCGCTGCTGTGCCGGGGGGGCACACACACATTTGGGGATGGATTCGCTTCCAGATGCTGCTTAGTGAAATCCGGGGGATGAGGGATAGGGCCGTTTGAAGGTGTATTGCAAAAATTAATCGGTTTTCTCTCCTGGGGAAAGTGATAACCAAGGATGCAATGGGCCAAAATGCAATGGGAAACTGTCAGGGATGGAGCTTTTGTCATTTCTGCCCCCCCGCTGCCCCCCCGGGACTCTTCCCTTTAAACTGGGGAAGCTGGAGGATTTCGGAGTGAAAGCAACGGGCTGGGCCCGAAAAAGAGGAAAAAAAAAAAAAAAAAAAAGCCAATTCCCCCCCCCCCCCCCCCATAGAGGGAACGAGGAGTGAAGTCGGGGGCCAGCTGGGGGAAGCTTGTAGCTGAAACGTGTTCCTTTTATGAGGCTCCCCCCGGGGCCAGCCCCATTGTAACCCGCCCGCTGCGTGGGCTCAGCTGCAGCCCCCGGCCGCCGGCAGGTACCGGGGGGGGCAGCGCCGGGGCTGTGCAGAGCCGGAGGGGACTGCTGCGGGGGGGGGGAGCCTGTGCACGGCTGCGTGCGTGTGTGTGCATGTGTGTGCATGTGCGCGTGCATTTGGATGTGCGTGCGGGCTCGTGCATGCATTTGCGCATGCATGACTGTTCGTGCACGTGTCTTTGTGTATGTTTGTGTGTGCATGTGTGTTTGTGCGGGCATTTGTGCATGTGTTTGTGCATGCGTGTTTGCGCACGGGCACGCGTGCACGCGTGTGCGTATGCATGCGTTGGCGCGTGCATGTGCGCGTCTGCACGCGCATGCACGCGTGTGCATGCATACATGCGTGTGTGCGCGCTTGCTCCTGCAAAAAAAAAATAAAAAAAATACGGCGCGCGTTTCTGCCCGCGCACCTCCGCGCAGGTGTGCACGGTCCCGCGCGCGGGCAGTGGCGCGGGGGTCGCGCCCGCGCGCGGGAAGAGGCGCGCGCCCCCCCCTCGGGGCTCGCGGCCGCTCCCGCCGGCGGGCGCTGCCTGACGGGAGGGCGCTGACGGGAGGCTCGCGGCCGGCGGTGAGGGGACGGCGGTGGGACGGAGCGGGGAGCCCCCCCCCCGCCTGGTCCCGCGGGGCCCTGCCCTCCGTGAGGGGCCGGGGGGGACGCGGGGCACACGCACGGTGCCCCCGGCAGCTGGGGGAGCGGCAGGGGTTTGGGGAGGGGGCGTCCTGCAGCGCCAGGTGACCGCTGGCAGCCCCCCCCCCCCGCTTCGCCGCGTGGTGTTTTGGCCCCCTCCCGGGGGGGGTTTGCAGGGTGAGCCACAAGGAGAGGGGGCGGTGGGCACGGGGGGTGGGTCGGGAGGGGGCTGCCACCTCCCTGAGACCGGAGGTGAATAAATTATGACCGGGCGAAAATGAGAACAATGTCTGGGAGTGAGTGTTTGCTAGAGAGTTACTGTTGTGGGCTTTGAAATCAATTGATACATAATTAGATTCCTCAAGAGAGGACAAACAAGGGCCGCCATTCACCGGCTCCTTCTCCCACATGCATCCCAACGAGAGCGCAGGCTGCAGCCGAAACCAGGCAGCCAGCATTCTCCAGCACTAAAAACATATTCTGGCTTTGGGTGTTCATTTAACAAACAGATCCTTGAACCTTGCTTCTGTTTGCAGTTTATTCCGACCATGTTTCTTTGTGCTCAGTTCATTAAAACATGTCTCTTTTGAGATCTATTTTTACATTTCAAGAATCCAGTATTGTACTTTTTTTTGTGGTGGCAGATGGCCCTAGACATCCAAGCATAAGCTCTTTCCTGCTTTTTTTTTTTTTTCTCCCCCCTCCGCCTTCTTTCTTAGGTCCTTTCTATGCCGCTCTCGAAGCCACGAGCAGCAGCAGCCGCCATCCATCCCCTCCTGTGAGGCCTGGGTCCAGCTCCCACAGCTCCTGCCTATGCATTGGGTGGAGCAGGAGCAGAGCAGAAGTGGAACAGGAATGAAGCAGCAGCAGAGCAGACGCGGCTTTCCATACGGTAAGAGCACTTTGCACCTGGCTGCGTCCCGGTTGGGCATATGGCACACCAGCCGACTTTACATCCTCACCTTGCATTTGCCATCCATGACTGTTTTTGTGGTGTCCCGCCAAGGGGCTTTGTTAGCTGGTGGGGTTGAGGTTTATCTTTCAGAGGGAGGGGAAAAGCTAGGTGCTACAGCCCGGGCACACAATGGGATTCCTAAAAATAAAGATCTGGGTTTGTGGAAAAGTGCTCTGAAGGAATGGGGAAAAAAGTATATAGCAATTGAAAAATACATGGTAAGGGTTATTGAACAACACAGCAGCTACCCCAGCCAAGGAGGCCACCTAACTAAGGCAATGGCTCAGCTCCTCCCTCTGCCCCCACGCTTGATGTACAAGCAACAACCACTTCAAAACCTGTTATCAAACATGGATCTGAGAGCTGCAGCCATTAGCAGAACTCACGTCAGATATGAATAGGATTAAAAACCAAACCAAAACATGCCAGCATCAAGACAAAGAAAGCTCTCTCAGGCGTTACAGACCCGTCTCTTAGGTAAGGTGCCAGTCTGTACTTTAGCCTGCAACAAGCTGGCTGTCTTGAAGGCATTACAAACAGCATGACAAATTCCTGCATCCTGTTAAACACTGGGATCTTCAGGAGGAGGTAAGGTAAAGCTGACACAGGAGATGTTTGGAAAATTAGGCAGAGGTAAAGCTGTCTCCTTTAAAATGAAACAAAATGAAATGTCTCCTAGTAAAATGAAACAAAACCCAGGAAGTTTTCCAGCAAAGATGTTTGGTTGGATGGATACTAACCAAAGCAGAAGTGCTCAAACACACACATACACAAGAATCTATTTTGATTATGTTGGTACAAAGGTGTTACGTATTTATGTATGTATCTCTGCACGTGCATATGCCATATCTGGGTTTGTGTGGTTCATTGCTACACCTGGGTTAAGCAACAAGCTATGGGCAGAGCCAGCTGAAGCTCTTGGTCAGTGCAAGCAAGACTGAGTTTTGCTGCTCCATGGATGGGGTGCACCCACGCCCACATAGGCTGCTGATGGGATGGGGTGCCCTTCCTTCGTGCCTGCCCCAGTATCCTGGTCTTGAAAAGTCCCTTGCTGTAAATAGTTGCCCCCTTTGTGTCCTGAACCAATCCTATCTACTGGCAAACTCTAAAGGAGGAGAATGTGGATTAGAGTTGGCTTGAAAGTTGTCCCATCCACTGCGGTAGTACAGCCTAGAGGTTCCAGAATGCATCTTGTTGCCTTTCTGGTGAATCAGGACAGGAGGTTAATGCATACAGCTTACTGGAACAGGTTTCCATTGCAGCTGCAAGTCCCCTTATGCTGGTGGCCCCAGCAACAACAGGGAGTGGAGACAGGACCACCAGCCATTCCTGGCTGGATATATAAAGTGCTTCAGCTGCACCAGGGGGATTCAACCCAGGATGCTACTGCAGGCTTCTCCGGGATGAGTCTGTTTCATGTTTGCCTCATGTCAGCCTCCAAAGAACCCCAGGTTTCTAGGAGTAGGCTGGAGGGGAAGAAACAATACAAGCTCCTTCCTTTCCCTTCCACGTGACTTCCCTTAACCTTCATCTGATGGGATGATGCTCACAAGTGAAAAAGTGGCAGAAGAGATCTGTGCTTCCATGTTAGGAGCTATTGCCACCTTGATGAACACCTTGGGGCTTCTGTCATTTAGACACTGTTCCTTTTACTGTCTTCCAAGTGCTTCCTCCCTCCATCCTCCACATTCAAAACAAGCATATAGGTGGAGAAGGCACGGGAATGGGAAGAGCCTTAGAGCTGCCAGCTGCAAGCAAAGTCTTGGAGAGGTCAGAAAAAGCACTATGTAAACAAAAGTAGTGAGCAGGAAGCGCTCACAGGGCAGGGAGTGTTTTGGGCTTGTCGGGGTGGGGGTGGGAAGGGGAAGTCTCAGCAGATCCAAGCTTGATTCATCTTAATCCTCTTCAAAAAACATCCAGGCCTTTCCAACACCTGCTCTTTTCCTTCACCATCATCTTTGTTACTGCTTGTCTTGGTTATTTGCTCAAGAGTATATTAGACAGCTCTAGAGCTTTTGCTGGTAGAAGGATGAAAGCAGAGGCAAGGTGGTAGACATCTACTACTAACTAACTCTCCCACAGGTAGCACAGTCCTCTGCAGAGACCAGCCAGAGGAGAGCTTTTAAGAGGAGCTTAGGGATATCTGGAATTCCCGTTTCCTCCCATTGTACTGCAGATTAGATAAGGCATGAGGATGGGTGAGGAATATAATCAAGGACAATGGACACCCCAATGTCACATCATGTACCTGTGCTGCTGCCTGAAGGTCTCCCTCCTCCTGCAGGCTCCCCCAGGCCAGGGGCTCCCAGTGCAGGTGGAGTGGTTTCCCACTGCCCTGCGAGCCTGGGGTTCTGGAGCAGCAGCTCTGGGGTGGGCTCTGTCTGCAAAGCAGTTGGTCCTTTCTGGGTGCTGGATGCCTAGGTACAGAAACCAGCCTTTTCTTCATGCAAAGGGTAGGCTTCAGCCCTGCAATAGGAACTGCCCGCATCATGTTGCAATGTGAAGTGATGTAGACTTGTCTTTGTGCTGATTAAAGCCAGCAGGAATGGCTAAACCTGGCAGGTGGTGAAATGGGAAGAGATATGACTCCTTCGTTTGCCCCAAACTGCGCAAATCTACCCAAACCACTGCCGGTGGGGAAAAGGACCACAACACCACTGTGTCATGTGTGTCACCTCTGTTGGTTCCACTGCACCAGAGCCCCTCAGTGCTGCCCCAGACATGCTCTGCACAGCATGGGGCGTACACCACTGAAAGCAGACACAGGAAGGACCAAAATTCTCACTGGCACCAGTTCAGCACTGAGAGGGAAAGAGTGTCACCCAAGGGTGGAAGAGGATGGGGGTCACTGTCCTGGGTTTACAGGAGGGGGGCACATCTTGCAAAATCTGCACTGCAACACACACACACACAGAGGCTGTCTGGGATTCAGGCATTCCTTGCACAGCATCCACCTGGAAAAGCAGAGTGGAGGAAGAAAAAAAAAAAAAAAAGTGTTGATCTCCAGCATAGAAAAAATCATCAGTTGAAAAATGACAACAAATAAGTCAATTTCTGAGACACCTGGACCAGAGCTACCCACCAGGGGCTGAGGAGGCACTTGTCCAACCCTGGTGAGATCCACCTCCAAGATCAGCGCTGAGCCCAGCACAGCTAATGCTAGCAACACTTATAAGATGCTAAAGGGGGATAGCAGATGACACCAGAGTGGGAAAATTCAGATGTCTGAGCTGCTCCCCTTCTCACAGTAGTGGGACTTTTCAACCAAATTATCTAGCGCTGGGACCGTTGGTATCCAGTATTGTGTTTTCAAGGCAGCACTGCAGAGTCAGTTTTTCACTTCATTAATTCTGTACAATGTGCAGCTAGACCTCAGGTACATTTTTAGAACCGTGAGTTCCATCTGTATCATCAGGCTGAAGAAAGCAATAATGAAAGGGTGCTGACCCACTTAATACCTAAGATGCTTATCCATGCAGTTGGGCTAGAAACTTCAGTTTCTTAAAGTTTGATTTCTATTTCACTAAAATATATATTTATTTCATGTAAGAATGAACTGAGATCTTTCCCCATGTCATCATCACACCTGTTCCACCCATCCCAAACTCCTCCAAGCCCAGACTGCTGCAATTAGAATGGAAATCAGCGAGTGTTTTAATTGGCCACAATTATGTGGCATGTTTAAATCTCCAGTGATAACAAAGAGAACATAATGAATAATCTTGATGATTTTTTAGTTGAGCATGTACTGCTTTAGTTTTATTGCACAAAGAAAACACCTAAAGTGATTTTAAAATGAGTATAATGCTTAAAACAAAAGAAAAACACACACACAAGCCAGGAAGTAATAGTAAAATTAAAGCATTTCAATTTTGATTTTTGAATAGATTTAAATACTGTGAATGTCATGTTAGATAATGTTTTATTAATAGGAGTTGATGTACATGTAATTTGGCCAAAGAGAGGTGGCAGAGTTGTTCCAGGAGCAAGATCTACCATTATACAAAATCAAAACGTACTATTTTTATGATGAGTATTTAGTTTTAGTAAAACAAAAAGGCAACAAAACATACAGAACCTCAGACTGGTAAGTGCAGGGGAAAAAAAGGATTGGGGGAGTATTTAAACGGGAGACAGAACTGAAACACTGTTAAAAGCTACTTGAATAAGCCTATAAAAGATCTAAAAAATATCAGAAAACTAGTGAGGCCAATGCTAGGAACGTAAAGAAGGAAGATTTAATAAAGGTATTGAAGAAATAAAGGGCAGTATTGTGGCAGCATTTAGAAAATTTAGGTGCCTCATGGGGTTTCTCTCAACTAGTCCTGGTTTTCAGGTGGCTGGTGCTTTGTTGTTGCCAAAATTCTATCTTCAAGAGGGTCTAGGCTGGGTTCATTGAAACAGAGGGACCTAACATTGCTGATTAGGTATGGAAAACTTGACTTAAGTTGTTTTTGTGCTGCTGAATATGGAAACGGAGAAAAAAGGAAAGCAAATGAAATAACAGTGAATGAAGCTGTGGAAGAGGCAGCAGTCTCAAAGCAAAGGGGAGTCCCAAGCAGGAGGAGAAGCACAGAGGTTGTGAACAGAGAGACTGGGGAGCAAGTGACTGTGCTGTGAAGGAGGATATGCCAGGGAACTGGCCGGATCCCAGCTTGTCTCCTTTTCTGAGGGATGGCCACCCTTAGCCCTGCAGCTGCTGAGACTGTTCCAGCACACGCAGCATTCCACTATCAGTAGTAGCTTGTAACATTGGTGTGCCTGCTGGCAGGCACAGAGCACAGTTCCCCTGCACAGAGCACTGGGTTAAGACCTAGCTGTGTGCCTGTTGGTAACGTCAGGGATGGCAGTGCTTCTTTGAGGGCTCAGAGCATGATGCTTTTCATTTGTGATTTTTGCCTGGTACAAGGACTGTTTCTCAGCTGGGAACAAACCTACTTAACAACTCCAAAATATACGGCAAGGAAAATACTATCTTAAGCTCTTACCTGCTTAATCAGAAAGAGAAGCTGATGAGGTGGTTTGCAGACTCCCTATAGGTAAACACAGAAAATTTAAAACAATGACATCACCACACCCTAGCCAGATGTCCCTCCATCTTCAGTTTCCTTGGGAGAGTCTCAGTGCATTGCCATTACATAGGACAGGGTCTTTTTCCAAGGTTCCTCTCAGAGGAGAAGCAAGCAGAGCCAGCAGAGGCTCAGGTGAGGAGCTTTATTCATGGGGCTGCTCTTCTCAAATTGCTGGCCATACTGCATCTGTGAGCATCCCAAATCTAGCAAATGGCACAGCAGTGCTCACAGGCTGCAAGCTGAAGTCAATTACATGCCAGGTGCACGTGATAGAGTTATTGCTGGCCTTCAAAATGCTTTGCAATCTGATCACACTTACCAGCTTTTTGTTTTTTCTTCTTTTCTCCCCAAAACAGAACTAATAAGCTACTTTCTGTAACAAAAAACTAAGACTTTCACCTATTCTAATGGCTTCAGAAGCTGTGACTCTTAGAAACAAATCACAAGATAATCATAAGATCACAAGTAGTGGCACTTCTGCCATTTTAAACATCTGTGTCTTTGCTGCTCATAGCTTAAATACCATTAATTTCAAGCTGTAGCATAATATCTAGCAGTGAATTGGTGTGGCAGGCCAGTTTCCAAGGAGACATCAACCATAATCCTACCATTTTTGTAACCAGAAGAGCACTAAGCACAGCTGAGCTCCCACTGAACCCAGTTACAAGACCTTCATCACTTTCAACAGGAGGTAAAACAGGCTGCGAGGAACTGTGCATGCATGTGATCTCGATGAATCCTCATTACAATGATAGCAGAAAGCACCTGTTTATTTTACGTGTGACCAGCAAACGTGTGCTTCTCTTCCAGTGGATGCACAGGGGATATGGAAGAGAAACAGTCCTTTCCATTTGGTTTTTATCTAACAGGAATGACCAACATGTTCAGTAGCTTTCGATCCTGACTTTTCAGTCAGAGTTAAGCTGTAAGTGCCACCAATACCCTCAAACTAAGTCCAGAGGAACAGGAAACCATCATTGGATAGTCCTAGTGTCTGGTGTTTTCCCATATGCTTGGTAAAAGGCAACACGTTTTATTGTAGGTGGGACCCAGCCTTCTGTATAAGCCTTTGCTGAACATATTTTACAAATCCACATATAACAGACAGACTGCCTGTAACCAGCATAGAAATAAGAAATTCTTACAGACAGCTTATTCTCCAGATAGGTCTGTAGCTGTGTTTTCTATGGCTATTTTCCTAAACACGTGCCATTGTCTGCTTCAGAGGCAGTGGATGAAGGACAGCAGCCTGACCTCTCCTGGCAATTACTGCTTTTCTACAGTGAGATTCTTGGAGGCTGGAGCCTGATTTGTTCACCATAAGTACTGATTCCCCATAGCCTCTCTCATCAGCTGTGGGGTTTTGCTCTGTATTAAATGTTCTCTTTGCAGAGCCCTTATTTACAAAGGCTTCGCTGGCACAGTGGAACTGCTGCCCAAAAATTTAGCTTGAAAACAGTTTCCAGGAATCATCTCTTCAAGCACTGTACTATTGGAATGATCTTCCCCTGCGCTCCCCTACAAAATGCGCAGCCAAATTCATGCCTGACGTAAGCCATCCAAATCCATGCTGCGCTGCAGAGCTGTCCAGTGGGTTTATCTTGCTGTGCACGTGATGCACGTCTGTTCACTTCATAAAACTCCCTTCCATTCCTGGAATTGTGAAACACACTTCATCCTTTCCTGGAATACCTGTATTGGTAGGCTTATCCAACAGCTTTAAATACATACCTTCATTTTGGTTACTAGGCAACTTTTGGTCCCACAACAGAGCAAACCCCATCCTTTTTTCAGTTGTTTTTGTATTTACGCAGATGGGTTACCTTGTCGTGACTTGTCAGTTATGACAACCAGCCACAACCAGAGTGAAATTTTAATACCTTTTTTTTTTCTTTTTTTTTTTTTCCCCTGCATATTAATCACAGCCAGGCACTCTGCCGGTATTTTAGGCAGGACAAGCACCTAACTGCCTTGTTCTCACGTGGGCACGTGCATGTGTAAACAGTTTCCAGGTCTTTGGTCTGCAGGACAGGAAATCCTCTGCAGCCCAGCGGTGGAAGAGGCACAAAGTGGGCAGCGGGGGCAGGACAACAGCTATATACATATAGAAATAGAAATCTGAGTTAAAGAGATGCAAAGGCTTCCACAATTCAGAAGAGATTTTATCTTTGGCATACAACGCAATTTACAGTTTTGGCTGCACACTTTCCAAAACAATGACAGACACTCCTCCGGCACGTCTTGCTTTCTGCTCATTTCTCTCTCTGCTTGGATCGTTCACCTAAAGGGTTGTGACCCATATTTCCACTTCGGCTGTTATAAAGGGTTATTTTGACGTGAGTGCCCTGGCTTGGCTCTGTTTCCACGCGAGCAAGCTGCTGTTTCCGGATGTGCTGTAATCAAGGCCCCGTTTACGCTGCAACAAGTTGGTCTTGAGCTCTGCAGCAGGCTTCCTGGACTTTTTTGTTTTGTTTTTTTTTGTTTTGGTTTGGCAGCAGCCAAGCAGTGCATCAGGATTTCTGTGAGCTCAAGTATGAGCTGCGTATGAATGCTAGGGCTGGTACAGAGACCACTCAGTGAAGAAAAAATACAACTGAAGGACAGAGCAGACTGCGTGCAAATGACATTGTTTAACTTCTGTTATTTTCCTCTGGCTGCATCATACAGTGTCAGCACCGACAATAACACCACAGTCCAGCAGCAGAAGCATACATAGCCATAAAATTTTAGTTATTAAACACTTTCAATCCTGTCCCTCTCCCTTTCTCCCATTTACTGCTCATTTTCTTACCCAGCTTGCATCTTGCCAATGGCATCACATCTGATGGGACACTCTCTCCAAGTGAATCCAGACACGTATGCAGATGTCAGACTTTACATGAGCATCCATGGTGATGCAATACTGTCATAATTATATCTAATAATCACAAGCCCAGCTCAAATCTTTCTTAATGTGAAGGGAGCTGTATCGAGCCCAACAGCCCTCATCAGTGCCAGCAGTTGGCGTGAGGGGTTGTGTAATGCAGGAACGAGAGGACGCCGGTTGCAGCTGTGGAGGTGCAGAGGCTCACGCTGTTCAGACTGCTGGAGTTCTGTTCCACAAACCTAGAGAGGGGGCTTTGGAGAAATTGCTAAATTTTGGAACGTCCTCTGATGGCTCTCTCTGGAAACATCCTTAATTAACTGCCACAAAAATTCCACCCAGGGCCCCCTTCTTGCAGAAGAGTGCTGCACACAGGTCCTGATAGCATCCGTATGGGCTTTGAAGGACCCAAGCATGAAGTCTGGCACACGGCTAGCACTGGCTGGAGAGTGATGAAAGATAGTGGAAACTGGAGATGGGACCCCAGCCCAGAGTGCAGCTGGAAATGGTGCCAGTGGCATTTCTGTGCAGTTTTACAGACTAGGGATGCTGTTTGGCCGCAGATGTTGACTGCAGTAAAACACGCACAAATTGTATAGTACAAATGTTGCTGGATTTAAAAGTTTCCTTGCGAAGTAATGCAAGTTTGCAAATCCGGAAAGAATATTGTTGGGACTTGTCGAAGTGCTCAATATAAACTGTAACACGCAAGCCATTAAAATGAAGATATTTGGCATTCACAGTTACACATATGGGCCTTTCAAAACCATTCTTCTGGTTTGGCAGCTCCTGCGATCCTTGAATGATGCATGACTTAGTTTTATACGTTCCTGTAAGATGCTTCTGCGAAGTTGGCATTTTTTTAAAAGCTTGTTGCTTGTGAGCTGGAGAAGAAAGCTGACTACAAAATGTAGGTCTGGTCTGAGAGAAACTTGTGAAACCCACTTGCTTGCGTGGTTACTTTTCCAAATCCTAGCTGGTGTCTGGGCTTTGTGTTCGGTTTTCACCAGGCTACTTCTTGATGCACAGATCTTGAAGCAGATGTTTAGAAGCACCAGTGAAGCAGGATATGCAAACAAAATGTCAGAGCTGTCCAAGGCTGGGGACACTTTCTGTGCTGATAAGCGACTCCTATGAGTGGCCAAACTGATCCATCTCCCTCTCTGACAGTGCCTTTGTCTAAGGGGACTGTTGAGTGAGGCTTTAAGGCTAAGCAGAGGATAAAAACTTACAATTGACCATGTCCAATGACTGCCTCAATCATGTGACATTTCCTCCATGTACATAAAGGCATAATTGACACTTTGGACCTTGCAGATGTTTTGCAATTCATTTGGTTCCCACAAAGATATCAGAAAGTAAGTCTCGTGAACTGGCAATACTGTGCTTTCCTCTGAACATGCTCTTATCGCTAAAACGTATTTAGATGCAAATCGCACCATGTCTCATGGCCCCACTTGTTTTGTTTTGCTTTTTCCTTCCCATTGCCTCTAAACAGACTGTGCCATCATTTTTTCCTGAAAGTATTAAAATACTCAGACATTCCTGAAAAAAACAAGTACACTTGTCTTCTTTGCAAACGATCTGATTCACACGCCAATGTCAGTGTATCCTTTTGCCTTCTGCTCATGGCGTTCTGCTTTATGCTTCCTAATTTAATTTGTCTTTCTGTCTGTTCAGTGATCCTTTCCAAAGAGAAATCTTTTTGCTGGGAAGCTATTTGCAATGCTCTCAACAGAAGCAGATGATGTGAACAACTGGTTGGCTTCATCTGGGTCTCAGAGGTCTGGACAAAGGGAGAATAGCATGGTCCAGAATGTTTCTTCCAGAAACAAAGTGAGTTCTGTGATTTCTTCACATTACTTTAAACAATGACAAACAAGACCATATATATAGAGAAAGAAAGAGTTAATCGTCCTTCTGGATGCTACAGGCACTTCCTTCCTTCCTTCCTTCCTTCCTTCCTTCCTTCCTTCCTTCCTTCCTTCCTTCCTTCCTTCCTTCCTTCCTTCCTTCCTTCCTTCCTCCCTCCCTCCCTCCCTCCCTCCCTCCCTCCCTCCCTCCTTCCCTCCCTCCCTCCCTCCATCCATCCATCCATCCATCCATCCATCCATCCATCACCCACACTCCTTGTTTTCTCAGATGATGAGGCTTATGCCAGCCTCAGCCACTAAAACAGGGCAGGAACTCAAAAAAGCAAAACTTGACAAAAGCAAAGCCAGTCAAAAAAAGAAAGCAGAGTTCCCATTTTATTTTTCTTCAGAGATGCAGAGACAGCCATTCTCATTCAGGAGCCAAACTGTGTTCCTTAC